CCAGTCCAAATTGTATTAAACCGAAACGGAAATTCTTTTTGCCCAATTGATCGTGAGCCCGGCAGCCACTGAGCAGCGCCAGATCGACGTTGCTCTATCCCTTATTGTTGAACGCCACAAGATTGTAAGTGTGAAACAATATGTTCAATGTAACGCATATTTTGTGAATCATTGTGTTTTCTGACCAATAAAACTATCAAGATTAAACAAATAAATAAAAAAACGAGATGCAAAATGGGTCCAAAAAAGTCCTCTCCGAACTTTTTCTTGACGCCACATATCTCAAGAACCATTTATCTTTTTTATTCTGGAAGTTGGTATGCAAAATCACTCTTATCATGTGTAGCTGTGCAGTACAGAGTAAAGTACAGAACCAGTAACTCCATGCTGTCAGTCCACCATTTTGTGGTAAGAAAAAGAATTAAAACCATTTTGCACTTGAAAAAATGAGTTATATTCTGATTCCATATCATCAAGTTATCAAACTATGTCATTCATATTCACCCAAAGAAACAATAAATATTTTCTTTCTGCATAATGTCAGCAGGTGACACTTGACTATAGTGTTTCATTAAGGATATGTTTCATGCTTGAACAAAAATAGTTTGACACTTGTAGCCCTGAAAATTTAAAGATTTTACAAGTAACTTGTATACAGCAGACAAACAAAAATTCAGAATAATCAAAGGAACTTTTTTTTTCACCCCAAGTGAGACAAAGTGTGTACCCTGATTGTAAAACAATCCTAAGTGGAATAGGGGAAGTCCTTTGCTAAAGACATGTTGAATTCAACCATATTGGTATTATATTTAGATAGAAGGTTGAGTCTTGACAAAGACATTTACAATTTATGTTTTTAGATATGTACATCTGGGTTCATATTCTTTAAGCCTCTCCAAGACTAGTTGTCAACTACATAGCCTATTTAATTAGTTGACAACTATTGTTGAAGTTGTGCTGATTGAATGAACTCTATTCTAAGTAGTTGACGGGAATTTTTTAGAAAAAAAAGAAATCAGAATTTTACGTAGATTATTTCATTAGAGCACATCTCATACTTTTAAAGTTCAGTTCATAGCTTGATTATCGATAATCAGTGGTAGATGTGACCTGTTATAGAGACTGCGCAGATGTAGTCCAATGTAGTCAGAGCCGATGAGATCTCGTCGAGCAGAATAACATGTAGGCTATTTGTGTTTAATACGTGGGGAGGGACGGGGCTGAAATCCCTCTCCCGCGGGCGCAAGGACAACCATCCTCGGGGATAATTACCGCCCCACCCCCCAGTGAACAATTAGCCTACACTACAGGACGATTCCCCCTCCCAATGACAACGAAGGACAACCTCCCCCCAAATCAATTGCCCTGCTCATTACAAGGGAAGTCCACCCTGAAATAAGTTGGTTTTGATATGGACAGACCCCCACCTTTTTTGGGGGGGAGGGGGAGAGGGTGATTATCCAAGGGTGTAATTTTCAGGGGGAGGGTAGCCTATCCGAATATACTAATCGCGTTATGGAGACAGCACGGCGTCGCGCCGATGTCTTCAACGAGGGGGGGGGGGGGAGGGGGGGGGGGGGGGGGAGGGTTAATTGTCCCACTTGTCATTGGCAGGGGACGATTGTTTAGGGTTTAATTGTCCTAAAACCGCTACAATAATATTTTTTCCGATTAATGCATTAATATTTGAATGTATTAATTGTTTAACCGCACAGTGATCTGGCTTGACACTACAGTGTGAGTAAAAAAAAAAGTTTACAACTAGAAAATGGCTAATTAATTATTAAAAAAATCATCGATGAACATTAAATTGTTATATATATTATGAAAGAGTGTGTTATCCCAAATCATTTGGTACCATTTTGTGGTTGGTATGTGTTCACGCTTGGATGAACAGGAGACATTGTTCATAAGATGTATAATAAGTTACTGTTCATAGATGATTTTAAAAATAATTAGCAATTTTCTAGGTGTAAACTTTTTTTTGACTCACACGGTATTGATTTATAGCGCAATCTGCCAAATTCAAAACTGCTTTAAAGCCCCAGTCCCATATAAAGCCGGACCAGCACGGACGAGCACGGACCACTCCACCATCCCGGACCATGGTCTTGGGTGATCCGGGATGGTCCGGGATGTTTTGTTCAAAAAATCGCAACCGCCGACCGTCTCCCCGGACCCAACACGGTACCACTACGGACCGCCCCGGACGTCCGGGCATAGCCCCGGCAGCAGTACAGATCATTCCAGACCAAGCACGGAGCCGCCACGGACCGTCCCGGACCACCCCGGTGTCAACACGGTGCCAACACCGTGCCAACCCGGATGACACCGGACCATCCCAGATGGGGTCCGGGATGGTCCAGGGTGATCCGTGTCGCCACCGTGCTGGGTCCGGGATCATCCGTAAGGGCGCGTAAGTGATCCGGGGTCAATAACTCACTCCCGGACTACCACGGATCAACACGGACCGCCCCGGCGCCACTACGGATGACCCGGACCCAGCAAGGTGGCTACACGGATCACCCCGGATCAAACTATTGCCCCGGACCGTCCCGGACCACCCGGCAGTTTTTGACCGTCAAAAACATCCGGGGTCGACTCCGGACCGCCCAGGATTATCCAGGACCATCCAGGGACCATCCAGGACCATCCAGGACCACCCGGGCCAACACGGTGTCAACAAGGACCGAATCCCGGATCACCCCGGATGGGTCCGGGATGGTCCGGGACGGTCCGGGACGTATATGGGACTGTAGCTTTAACAATCATACGAATTGAGTTTGTTAAAAATGTTCAAAGAGCAAATTGACGAGTTTACACGAAACCAAAATAAATCAATTTTCATTTTGTATTCTTTATTGTTAATATTCCTGGATTTACATATTGTGTTCTATAATCTTGCTATCACTATTCACATTTAGTATGTGCTCATACATCTGCTCATATGGTTTTATACTAATGTTGACTATGATTTCATTTTCTAATTCTACTTAATGACTTCTGATTCTACTACATGTATTTACATTTTTTACCTGAACATCCACCCTTACAAAACACAATACTTTCACGTGTGTATTGTGTATATTAATGATAACGACATATAATGCGCACATATCCACCCAAGGGATGCTCAATACGCCATAACAGGAAATTATTACACGGCCATTACGGCGCTCTAACATTTCATTTCAAGGAATTAATTCCTGCAGGTTCCAATTATATCACCTGGGTCTAGCGCGGCAAATGTAGATCGATGTCTTGCCAAAGGACACTAGTTCCGCGGTGGGACTCGAACCGCGGCCTCGACAGTCCTGTGACGTATCACTTGACCACGACACCTCTACCATAGAATAT